GAGCCACATCAACAAAAAAGTACGAAAATTTATGGGAGTATACGAGGAATGCTCCCGGTCCCGGAGGAGCGGCATGAACGACGCCGATGTTCTCCGGCTTGCCACGACCCGGTATCAAGACGACGGGAACCAAGGCAAGGTGCCCATCGATCTTTGGGGGATTTTGAGTCGTTCCCCGAAGTGGCAACAACTCAACAATCCCGACGGCGTATCATTCCGGAAAAGATCCACCGTCGACGCCGAGGTTGAGGTCGACGAGACCATCGGTTCTACCGATCAAATCCCTTCCTTCAACGTTGCGGTTTCCGATGACGAGGACCCCATTCCACGGCCGATCGGAAGAAAGAAGGCAAAATCCATTGCCTCTGGTTCGGGAGGGTCCGCCTCTATTTCTGCTTCTCCCCGCGACGAAATCGGCCGGGCAATGGTTGAACAACTTCGGGCGTTCAATCTCCAAGAACAAGAGAGGATGAAGCTTAAAGAGAAGAAGTTGAAGCTAAAGAAGCAGGAGGCCGAGATAAAAGTCATGCAAACCGACCCCGCAACGTTGTCGGAGTTTGGCGAATTATCTACGAGCAAAGAATGAGAGAGATCAAGGAGAAATATAATTTTCCTTAGTTTTTTTATTAATGTATCTTTTTTTTAAATTATTGTCGCTTTTTTTATTTAATTAATGTGTTTTTTATTATTCGTGTTTCAATTTAATTAAATAAAAAATTAATTACATTTTATTAATTTAATTTTAGAAGATGTATATTTAAAAATGTAAAAAATGAAGGTTTGAAGCCCAGTTTTGAAGCCCCGAGGCTTCAAACCCATTTCCAGTGAATTTTGGGTGTAAGTTAAAGCTGACGTGGCATAGAGAGAAAGTTTGAAGCCCCGGTTTGAAGCCCCGGGGCTTCAAACGTATTACCAGTGCTCTTATTGGTACAATTTATTAGTTTCGATCATGTTGTTATTGAACTTAATATTTTTAAAATGTTCATCATTATGACTATTTAATATAATTAAAATTAATTATTTAAATGTATAAATATTTTATTTAAATTTTTAAAAATTTCCCACCAATTATCAAAAAATTCAAACTTGCATTGATTAAAAATGTAGATCATCCGCACAAAATCAAATAGAGAAAAAGACTAAAATAAGATCAAAACATTGAAAGTATACTAAAATAAGAATTTTATATTTTTATTTCCAAAATAAGTATTAAAATGTATTTACATTATCAATCATGTATATTACGTAAAATGCACATGCACAATATCACATTACCACTGTGCAAACTACTAATTAAGAAATAAAAATATGGAAATCCTATTGGTAATACTTCTATATTTTAATCGTATTTAGAGTGATTTCTTAATAAAATACGAGTAACACCCACTATTTCGATATCTAATTTCGCACAAGGCATTTTTTCTTTTATTTTTTTTATTTCAGGACCAGTCCTGAGTGGCGGACTGGGAACGGCAATTAGACCATTGGAGTGGCGGAGATTGGGTGGCCGGTGGTGGTAGTTGGTGGCGGGCGGCGGGGACAATTGGACGGTTCCCGTGAAAGAGGAAGGAACTATATACATACTCCAAATAGGGATATCCGGAAGTATTAGATGCGGAAAACGTAACAATTAATCACATCTTTAACGATCTTTCTTCAAATATAATCTTCCAATTTTCTAATCAAAAGTCTTTATCTTATTTTATGCTTTGTTTCCTTTGTATAAGATGAGTCATATTCGTCTAATAAATATTGTAATATTGCTCAATTGCTCATCACTCTCATAATTATGACACTTTAATATTTTCGGAATTTGGGACATGTCAATATTAAAGGGGGTTTATTCGATCTAGATTCTAATAGATTTTTTTGGATTCTGAAAATTCATAGGTATTCAATTCAGAATTTAAAAAGTCATTTAAAATCTAGGTTGCCATCATCGCCGAGGAGGTCGTCCTATCGCCGAGGAAGTCGTCTTGTTCGCCGTAAGAAAGTCGGGAGGAAGACGAAGGAGAAAAAAGAAAAGAAAAGAAAGAGAAAAAAGGGAAAAAAAACATAGAAAGAAGGAAATGGGAGTCTGATTGAGTAAGGGTGCGCTTACACCTTAGTTTAACTTTTAGCAACTGTGTTAGGAGGCAACCATGTTAAGCATAATACATATGTAATTACCAACGACAGACTTCACTATTTGACAACCACTCCGTGATTAAAACATAATTTATCTCATCTCAGTTGATCATCCCGCCGGATTGAAGGATTCTTAGGAATGTGGATCATCTTTTTTGTAATGTTAAAAATGTCAACATATGACACCAAAAAATGCAGTAGAATGCTAGTATACAGGGAAACATTGTCACAATACAAAAATTCTATTTTATGGATAAAATATATTACTTCTATTTTAGAGATACTATGTTTAATTTGCTTCTATTTTATGTGATTTTTAGACTTGTAATCCTTACCCTCTTACAAATAAAACAAATATAGATTTACTCGCTTCACCGGGATTTAATTTTCTAATTTCTAGAAAGTATTATTGTATAAAAAATAAGTTCTTCAAATAGTTGTACTACCTCCGTCCCTGAGTATTTGTCTTATTTTGACTTTTTTCAATCAACCATTTTTTATTTTAACCTATAATTAAATAAAATATTATTTGATATAATAAATCTAATAAAACTATTTATTGTATCAATATTTAATAATCCCTTATTTTTATTTAATTTGAGATTTAAGTTTACCAATTTTGACTAAAAAGTCAAAAGTGAACAAATATTTCAGAGACGAAGGGAGTATTAATCATTCATATCAACAACTTTCAAATTTCATTTCTATAACATTTTAGACAATTTGTCCTAGTTTTTTATTAAACATGAAAAATAAACAACTATATCTAGAAAAAGAAGGATTATTAAGATTAAACATTGTTAAAATTTTCACATTTGAGATCCAATAATAGAGGATCTCTTGCAGATTATTAGTGAATAAACAAAGGGGGCTATAAGATCTTCAAGTCTTACTTTTCAAGCATCATAGAGGCTAGTTATTCCTTTACATGCTAATTACTCCGTAATTAACTATGCTAATTACTCTCTCCAATTAACTTATGTCTGCATCTGTCTAACACCAAACAGAGCATTTAACAGTTGTATATAAACCCTCCTCTCTTTCTCATCCTAACCTTCAAAGTTAATTTTCTCTCTAAAATTTAATAAATGGCCTGCAGCAAAATCCAGAAAATTGTCAAGCTCCGGCAAATGCTCCGCCGGTGGCGGAAGAAGGCCGCCGCTTCCGCCCGCAACCGCTGCCGCGTGCCGCCCGATGTTCCCGCCGGACACGTGGCGGTGACGGTCGGGAGCAGCTGCAAGCGGTTCGTGGTTCGCGCCACGTACCTGAACCACCCGATTTTCGCGATTCTGTTGTCGCAGGCGGAGGAGGAGTACGGATTCGACAACGCCGGCCCGCTCGCCATTCCCTGCGACGAATCGCTGTTCGAGGAGATCCTCCGGCAGCTGGCCCGACCCGATTCGAGTTCCAAATCCCCCGCCCGGTTCTTCAGCACTCCGGATTTTCAGAGAAGTCGCTTTGTAGGTGCGATCCGGACCCGTATGGACCCGTTTCCCGAGTCGCGGCCGCTTTTGCAGGGCGAGATCCCGAGTTGGTGAGGTACTGCGACGAATATGGTTGGGTTGACTCGTCCGAGTTGCATCGATCGCTGTGTTGACTCGGTCGATGACTTGATTTTCGGGTTATGAAACTATAGAGTGTGGAGATGGCACACAGTCGTCCCAAACGATGATTAATTAGGGAGCTTGTACATCCAATTCAATCGAAAAATTAATAAAAAAAAATAGTTGAGAAGTGTTTTCACTTATTATTGATATTTATTTATTTATCTATTTAATTATTATTCACATTTATTTTTTTACTTATTAATTTATTAATTTATCTAGGTATCAATCTATACTCCTGAATTCCTGATATAATTACAATCTTCATGTTTTCCATTAGTTTTAAACTTGAATTATATAAAGGGATTTTTTGAGCGAATATATAAAGGGGATATATTAAGGACAAATGAATTGCTTTTCATATTACGGAGTACGGAGTACTATTTTTCGTCAAAGTGTATTTGTTCAATTTAATTTTTTCGAATCAAACTAGACTAATTTTGTTCTTCAATTACTCTCCATTTTTATCGCATATTGGTACAATCGAATAAAATTTTTAAAATTTTCAACAAAATAATCTAATAAAATCATTTTTATAAAAATATATGTTACATTTTTAATTGAAATTCAAAATTCAAGATATTTGACTCGAAAAAATTCAACTGGACAAATATACTGAAACCGAAAAAGTAGTATTACTAATCATATCATGTTTATATTATGTACTACTCCGTAATAGATTTTAATCCACACAGATATCAGGAATATATAATATAATAACATACAATAATATAATTAATAATAAATAATATGACGATCACGCGATCAATGTTATCATAGAAAATTTAAATTGAGAACGTACCATGAGTATTTTTCGAGAGTACGTAGTATGAAAAGTGAGTCGTTTATTATGTTTTGAAGATGTACAATTGTACATGTACAATATGTAGACACTAATTGTCATTGATGGAATTTGAAGCTATATAAGGAATAATAATAGTTAATACTAATTAATATTAATATTAATATTAATATTTCTTTTAATATTAATAATAATAACGATATAGAGTACGGTGTATAGATCTAATTTGGTGTCTCATTTAGAAATAGTGTGGAATGTATATTCATGGCATGGATTTGATTATGGGAGAGACGGGGAATGGTTGTTATAGTATGAAGTTAATGGTGGAGTAATATTAGAAATTAATATGTGGAAGGTAGTCATATGGTCCAATGTTTGAATTTGCTTCCAAATATTTTGATTGTGATTTAGATAGTTTTCAAATAATCAAATACTTCTTCTTATGATTTTTCACGTTCTCCAATTAAAGTTTTGATCATTGATAACGATATTATACATAGATATATTTTATAAAATTTTAATATTTCAAAACGATGTTTCAAAAGAAAACTAGGATATTGATATTATATTTATATCGAAACACGATATATTTTTTACACTAAAGTTCATTAATTTTGATTTAAAAAAAGTCAAATGAGAAGATTAACTTTGGTCGTAGGGAGTATTTGTCATATATAATCTACAGCAAATTATTTTGAGGTAATCTCGATTTTCTAGTAATTAATAACCCGCATGTTCCATGCATATTGTCTTAATGTAAATATACTTTGTGGTACCTTCTATTTTCTAATAAGAACTCTCAGATCACACATTATTTAAAATATACAGTTTTAACAATTTGTAGTATAATACTCTAAGAGTACATTCCTTCCTTTTGACAATTAATTATGATTGAAAAATTTTATTTGCTACTTTGGCAAATCTAACACCAAAAGATATACTTCACGGTACCTCCCGTTTTTTGCTAAAAACTCGCATGTCTTATATTACTAAATTTTATTTTGAATAACCATTATTTTACTAAACTTTGACAGAATCCTTCAATTTATAATCATTATTATTTTTGTTGTTAGCAACTTAAAATTGATGAATTTTTTGTATTCAAATTTGTTAAATTAGGACATTTGATTATCCAATGTAAAATCGTACTTATAATATAGGACATACTTCTTAGTAGAAATCCTGAGCTAGCGCCATTCTAATTAGGACCATGCTAGGGTGCCACCACATAGATGATATTATAGGTGCACCCATGCTT